AATCGTTAAGTGGTTAAGATGTAAACAGTCATTCAGAGTGGTTTGGTGTGAAACGCTCTGTTATAGAGAAACTTACAGAGTCAGAACTGTTCACAGTGGTGGTGATAGGAACCAGACGTCCACCTCTAAAAGCTCCCTCACAGAAAGTTACTACATGAAATGGTTATGAATATGCTGCCTGATGACTGAGACACTGTTTTATGATTTTGGCCTTAAATGTGCTTTTAAAATCCATTCATGGTTGATATATTTGCTCTGACCGCTGGTTCCTATCAGCACCACTGTGAAGAAATCTGAAATAAGTTTCTCTACAATGAAACATTTCACATCAAAACATTGTGAATGACTCTGTTTACACTTGGACGACTGAATTAGGCAGAACTTTGGAAAAAATGGTGGAATTCCTCTTTAATGCAACAGGATACATCTATTGAACTGACAGCTTGGCATATGAGGCATCTTTAATGTCTGAATGTGGTGAAGCAAAACGGTTTGTAAGAGCTTTTGCAAAAAGCTTTGACGTCAATAAGCTATTATGGCTGATGATAGGCTTAAAAATGATAGCGGTTTACCACGCCATCGAGTCGTTGGCCCTCTTACATGCGACAGCTTGCACGAGAACTTCTCCTTTACTCCTCAGTGTTGTTACTACATGCTTCAGTTTCTATATAACCACACTGGGTCATTTCCGATGTGGATTCCTGTACAACTGGAATAAGAGCTGTTTACAGTCAAGAGCGCTTGATCTGTGTTATTGTCTTATATGATTTTAAATTTACACTCATAATTTCTATGACTATTAACATTTATCACCGTCTGTAAAGCAACCTGAGCTGACGCCGGGATGAAAAGTGCTCTATAAATAAAGATTATTATTATTATTATTATTATTATTATTATTATTACACACATCATACACACCTAAAGATGGTTCTTTAAGGGCTCATTAGTAAAGGAAATGGTTCTATCTAGAACAGTGAAGACATAAAAGAACCCTATGCATGATTCAAGGGTTCTTTGTATGGTGAAATGGTTCTTCAGATTGATGGAGAATGTGTTTTATGTGGTTCTGTATAGCACTGAAAAAGGGTTCTTCTATTGTTAGGATGTCAAGCTTGTAACAATAGAAAACCCTTTTTGGTTCTATAAGGTGCCATATATGGTTCTATATAGGATGTTTTTGAAAAGGGTTCTATGTAGCACCAAAAAAGGTTTTTCTATTGTTACAATGTCAAGCTTGTAACAACAGAAGAACCTTTTTGGTGCTATATAGAACCATTTAAAAAAGGGTTCTATATCGAACCATATACACTCCTAAAAATGATGATTCTTCACAGGTTCTTTAGTAAAGGAAATGGCTCTATATAGAACCATGAACACTCAAAGAACCATTTACATGATTCAAGGGTTCTTTGCATCGTCAAACGGTTCTTCAAATTGATGGAGAATGTGTTTTATGTGGTTCTGTATAGCACTAAAAGGGGTTCTTCTATTGTTAGGATGTCAAGCTTGTAACAATAGAAGATCCTTTTTGGTTCTATATAGAACCATTTTAAAAAAGGTCCTATATAGAACCATATACACTTTTCAAAAAATGATGGTTCTTTATGGGTTCTTTAGTAAAGGAAATGGTTCTATATAGAGCAGTGAAGATATAGAAGAACGCTATGCATGATTTGAGGGTTCTTTGTATGGTGAATGGTTCTTCAGATTGATGGAGAAGGTGCCATATATGGTTCTATATAGGATCTTTTTGAAAAGGGTTCTATGTAGCACCAAAAAAGGTTTTTCTACTGTTACAATGTCAAACTTGTAACAACAGAAGAACCTTTTTGGTGCTATATAGAACCATTTAAAAAAGGGTTCTATATCGAACCATATACACTCCTAAAAATGATGGTTCTTCGCAAGTTCTTTAGTAAAGAAAATGGCTCTATATAGAACCATGAACACTCAAAGAACCATTTACATGATTAAAGGGTTCTTTGCATGGTGAAATGGTTCTTCAGATTGATGGAGAACGTGTTTTATGTGGTTCTGTACAGAACCATCTACAGCACAGTCTCCGTCAATCTGAAGAACGCTTCAATCATGCAAAGCGTTCTTTTACATTTTCATTGTTCTATATAGAACCAATTCCTTTCCTAAAGAACCACCTTTTTTAAGAGTGTAGGTGTGCATTGAAACCCTTGATCACACAGTTAATCTTATAATCCCTCTTCAACCCAGATAAGCTTAGGTGACACTGACAGCCTCAACAGGCCACACGGTACAGTCATAATCCACTGTTCTGCAGTTACATCACCAGAAGCGCAGCTGAACGATCCACCACACCTGCTGAAGCTCACAGCCTTTTCCTTCTTTCGATCTCGCCACACTCCTCTGACTATGCGCTTCTGAAGCTCCTGCTGTGAGACTGAACATTCTTTACATATTGAAAAGTCGATTTAGCTTTAAATCCAAAATTTCTTGATTAGAAGTTCAAGTAAAAATGTAAAACAGGGACACACTGCATCACCGATGTGAAGCACTGCACTATTGAAACAGCAAAAGCTACTGCAATGCTACTAGCGACCCTTGTGGAAAGCTTTCAGTAGCAAAAACAGAGGCGAGTTACAAGCCAGGTGCTCTGCTGCTAATAATGTAAAAAAAGGAACTAAGCCGCAGTCACACTAGAGATTTGTATTTCTAGTGGTGGACAGTAACGAAGTTAATGTAATTCTTTACTGTGCTTAAGTAGTTTTTTCTTGTATCTGTACTTTACTGAAGTTTTTCCATTTTGGGTGACTTTTTACTTTCACTCCACATTTCAGAGTCAAATATCTCACTTTTTACTCCACTACATTATGAGAAATCTGTCGTTCCTTTTGGTTTATGTGTGTATAAAAACGTAACATGTCAAAACAAAAGAAGCGCAAAGCAAAAACACCAATCAGGGCACAGCGGTCACTTAGTTTTGAGCTTGTTTTGACCTGTTGGTCATACCGACCCAGTGCAGCACACGGTTCAACGTCAGTGCAGCAGCGTAAAATTTTGGGAGAGTCTATTCAACATAAATGATGAACTAACCTAACTTTGTGTAAATAGACCACAATATAGAAATATGTACTCATATGCAGTTGTGACTGACGTGTCTTTATTCTGAATTTATACAAACACTATTTCATTTTACAGTAAATTAGTTTTGGCTAGTTTATGTTTATGAACAGAGACCTACAGATGCAGTTTAGTAAAGGAAACTCATTTGTGAATCTGAGTTTAAAGTTTTTATTAAACTTAAACTGTAACTAAGTTCAAATAAATCTTAAACTGAAACTTTGCTTGTTTGTAAAAAGTGATTTCAGAGCCACTCAGTTCTACCTGATGGAAACTGTTTGCCTTGAGTGTTTTGTGCTTATGATAATTTTAATAGACATCAGCGTCACTAATTAATGACTCTATTAAAAAGACTGGTTTACCAAGAGAGACACTGGAGTATTTTCACCTAAAATGAGTTAATGAAGCGAGTCTTGTTACAAAAATGATAATAGGACATTAAAGTCATAATTAATCTTTTAGTACTTTCACTTTTGATACTTAAGTACATTTGAAGGCAAATACTTTTGTACTTTTACTCAAATGGAGGTCTAAAGGGAGGAACTTCTACTTTTCCTGGAGTAATATTTTACCTTGGGTATCTCTACTTTAACTCAAGTACATGGTTTGTGTACTTCATCCACCACTGTGTATTTCTCATTACCTTGTGAAATAGGTGTAACCATTACTGAACTGGAAGCTTGGCAATGAAAATCATATGGCATTTTGGGGCATTTAGCAAGTAAGCGAACTCACCAACCACAAACTGTAAAACAAAAAAAGTAAAAAATACTTTTGCTAGACAATTATGCACTACCTAGAGTGTAGTGCTGCATAGAATGTGAGTGGCGTGCAGTGCATAGCTAAGCAGCTAACCTAGCAGTTATCAAGCTAGAAAACATGCCTACAGCCCTGCTAGAAAAACTAGCATATCACCAACAGAACCAGCATATGTTGTGTTTTGGATACTGGTATGCTGGTCAATCAGTATAACCATGCTGGGTGAGCAGCTAAACCAGGACCAATAGCACTAAAACAGGATAAATCAGTTTAAACCAGTTTTTGGCTTGCATGACAAAAGCTAAAGTGACTGGGCCTTGACTGTGGCTTACATGTTAAATAATGTAATGGCTTTTTCCCAAAGCATTGTAATGGGAGGAGTCATTTTCCCAGTATAAATTACATTTTAACATGTGCAAAATCAGTTTTCACTTTTTGATTTTTTTATTGAAATTCAAATTCAAATTGATTTCTTACCAGTGAAAATTGAATTATGGAGTGCCGTATTTACAAAACTAGAAAAAGCTAAAATCTCATCCACACCTCAGTTTTTATTGATTTAGAGAACATTATTAATTTCAAATTATATTTCATTTGTATGCATGTGAAAATTCACACCCTTAGTGGGCTGTTAGATCTGGTGTACTTTTGTCATGTGGCAAATTCTATGCCATGTCATTTACTACATGGTTAGTTTTGATTGTCTGCAACTAGAGCCGTTTTAAATTGATACGCAATCTTATGTAAACATATGCAAAATCTGTAGCGTTTCAACATATAATTAGTACATATTTTGACAAAAATATGAGCTGCACCTTCTTATTAAGCTGAATAGAATTTCTTGTCCAACCTAGTGTCAGTGCAAAGCTACAAAGCAGCGCATTGTGGGTGCTTGAATTCTGCAGCCTATCTAAGGGGCCTCAGATGGCTGCTTGAGAAATAAATTTCGGTTCCGTTTACTATGAAGCAATGTTCTCAAAGGAACTCTCTCCTAGTTCCAAGGGGAAATTGCATGACATGGGCAAATTTTGTGGAGCTCACAACATCCGCATTGATTTCCTGTACTGCTACCAAAGGCCGCATTAGAAACGATTGCGCAAAAAAAAATGCTTAGTAACTGCTATTGTTTCTCTGTGCAGGTTTACCATAAGGATGTCAGGCTCTGCTGATGAAGAGGAACTGCCAGCAACACATACAGGTACCAAGCAGACACTGACTACTCCACCAGAAATCTGAGATACTGCTGAATCATAGTCACGTAAACGGCCTTTACTTCAGCAAGCTGCTTTTGCTAATGTTAGAATTATGAGACATTGCACAATTAAAATGACCTTCTGATCATCAACAGATAAGAAAAGTATGCAGTTCTGGTGTATTATACGCACCAACCGTATTACATTTACGCAATACTGGACGTCTCTACCTTGTACTTGGCTACTGTCCAGAATTTAATGGATGACTGCAGTCTGGACATCACACAAACATAAGCCTTATCTTTCATTACGCACAACTCCAATCCCATTTTCCACTCCGCTGTGCTGCTTGTGATAAATCTCAGCATCGCATCCAGTCTGCTTTTGCTTCACTGAAACATGCTTGCACAGATATCCTGCCTACAGTACTGTGCAGAGGGCAGAGACCACCCTTTATTCTTTAAGTTTCCGGTCAAAACGGCCATTAGGTCATTGATTTTTCAAGAGATATTTCTGAGGAGATTAAACTTACATAAGGAATGAGAAAGCCAGTTTCCAAAACTGGAGGTAATTAAAATAATTAAAAAGCCACAGAGAGAATGGGACTCCTAAAAACCACCCGGAAGACCTAGTAGACCACCGAGACTGCCCCCTCAGATAAACAGCACTTAAAGCTTTCATCTTTGAGAGAGAGGAGAAAATCAAACTGCTTCAGATCTGAAAACATCCACAGGTGTTTCTGTCTACGGAGCCCCACTGGTGACATCCTGTATTAATAAAAATAAAGTGTGGCCACGACTTAGTAAGGCGTGGGAATGAGATGATTAAGTCATGGCCACGACTTAGTAAAGCGTGGGAACAAGATCCTAATACATGGCCACGACTTAGTAATGCGTGGGAACTTAGTAAGCCATGATCTTATTCCCACACCTTACTAAGTCATGGCCACAGCTTAATCATCTCATTCCGACACCTTACTAAGTCGTAGCCATGCATTAGGATCTCGTTCCCACGTGTTAATAAGGCGTGACCATGCATTATTTTTATTTATACAGGATGTCTATCCTTCCACTGTGAGAAGACAAATCAGCGCTATAACAAAGTTGTTATCTTGAGATCATGACAATCATCTTGTGATCTCGAGATAACAAAGTTAATTATCTTGAGATAACAAAAGTTATCTTAATATCACAAGATGATTAAGTGACAATCTCAAGATAACAACCTAACTATCTTGTAATCTCAAGATAACAAAGTTCTTATCTTGAGATCACTAGATAGTTGTTATCCCAAAATCCTCAATTAACTATCTTGTGCTCTCAAGATAACAAAGTTCTTATCTTGAGACCATGACTTAATTATCTTGTGATTTTGCAATAACAACAGTTGTTGTCTTGAGATCACAAGATAAGTCGCAATCTCAAGATAACAGCTATTTTGTGATCTCAAGATAACAAAGTTGTTATTTTATTCCAACTAGCTTTCATTCACTATTAGGAGTGTTAGCATGTTGGGTGAAGCAAGCTGGTGTAGATAATATCAGTGTAACTGGGAAAAACTGTTTAATAGTTCCATCTAACGATGAGTATCAATCAGTCTGATTTTCTGATGGTAACTCTTAAGTGAAGAATTGGAGATGCTAAATAGGTACTTGCTAAGTTTTCTTTACATTTGGTACAAGGGTGGTGCGGATCATCTCTGGCTGGGGTTACAAATCTTTTTCCACGGCTCTTCCAGGTCCTAAAGGAGTGATCCACGACTGGAGGAAGTTTAAGCTGGAAAGTGAGGACCATGAGAGCATGCCCCAGAAAAGGAGAGAGCTGCTCAGACAGATGTCCAACCCAAGGTCCAACAATGAGGATGACCCTGAGAGAGTCAATCGCAAGGTGAGTACGACTGCACCACAACACAAGAGGAAGCACTAGTGCCTCCATGTTACACAGGCAGGTGTAGAGGCTTGTGAAGGTTTTGTATTTGGGTGGAGTTGGAGTAAAAAGTTTTACCATTTATCATATGAAATTTAGCATTTTGGTCACACGGGACGACTGACTTTTAACAAAAACAGCCATAATTAATTTCTACATGACCATTTTTCAACCTTTCTTAATCCCTTACTACAGAGCCCTGCTGGTGACAGCCTGTGTAAATAACAATAATGCGTGGCCACGCCTTATTAACGTGTGGGAATGAGATCCTAATGTGTAGCCACGGCTTAGTAAGGTGTGGGAATGAGATGATTAAGTCGTGGCCACGATTTAGTAAGGCAAGGGAACGAGATCACGGCTTACTAAGTCGTGGCCATGCATTAGGATCTTGTTCCCACGCTTTACTAAGTCATGGCCATGACTTAATCACCTCATTCCCACGCCTTACTAAATCGTGGCCACACATTATTTTTATTTATACAGGATGTCACCAGCGGGGCTCCGTACCTTACAATTAAATAGGCTATTTTTGTTAATGCGCTATTAAGATCAATTATCTTGTGATCTTAAGATGACAAAAGTTAACAATTAAGTGACAATTTCAAGATAACAATAGAACTATCTTGTAATCTCAAGATAACAACTATCACAAGATAGTTTAGTTGTGATCTTAAGATAACAACTTTGTTATCTTGTGATCTCAAGATAGCAAAGTTGTTAGTTGTTATCTTGAGATCACAACTTAACTAATTTGTGATTTCAAGATAACAAAGTTGTTATCTTGAGATGATGACTTAATTATCTTGTGATCTTGAGATAACAAAAGTTGTTATCACAGGATAATTAAGTCAAGATCTCAAGATAACAACTTAACTATCTTGTGATTTCAAGATAACAATCCACAAAATTATAGTCACCGCTCATATGTAAATGAGCTCTGTTTTGATTGGCTGCCCAGCTCTTGTGCCTTATTTACAAAAGTAGTCTGGAATAAACCAAAACACTCCTTAAAACTTCAGTGTGAATGGGCGGAGCTAAAATGCTGCAGTTTGAATAGCTGGATAAATGTAAATAAGTTTGTTTTTGTGACATCACAAAAATAGTGAAATCAAAACAGGCAGTTTTTGCAGCTGGGTGTTCATATATAACCATGTTACAATTACTTTAAAGGATTTATCAATGGTTTAAAACAAGCTTATTAACCAGGTCATAAACATCTTTAATGGGAATTTCACCTGTTTTTCAAAACTTCTGCATAATTATATTGCTGAGATGCCATCTAGGTCAATCAGACTGGTTAAATATGAAATGGTTGATTGTAGAGGGCCAGATGTCTTTACAGTGGTGGTGATAGGAACCAGGGGTCACCATGACTACAACACAGATATAGACATTTTATTTAGTATCCAAAACCACCGGAGAACCTACACGAGTCTTCTGAGTGTTTACATGTAATGTTGATGACGGTAAAATAGTTAAATATATTTAAAGAAAAAAAATCTTATCTCAAAAAAATTTCAAAACAGTGTCTCAGGCATCAGTCAGTGTATTCATAACCATTTCAAGTTATAAACTTTCTGTGAGGGAGCTTTTAGAGGCATTAAACTCTTCAGACGTCTGGTTCCCATCACCACCACTGTGAATAACTGGTAAGTGTCTCTAGAACAGAGCATTTCACACTAAATCACGCTGAATGACTCTGTTTCCAACTTAACTATCTAATTATGCAGAAATTCTGGTGAAACTCTCCTTTAATAAGCACATATGAAGCATAAATAAAACAGTGAGCTGTTATATCTGATGAATGTGAACATCTGATGAAGCTGGTAGGTTTAATGCTGGCTGGTTGAGAACACAAAGTAAGATCAGTGACCAGCAGGATCTAAGGTTTAATGATTTTTAGATTCTTTTAATTATATTTAATATGTTTATGACCCACTGCGATGGACTGGCGACCTGTCCAGGGTGTATCCTGCCTTCCGCCCAATGATAGCTGGGATAGGCTCCAGCATCCCACCGCGACCCAGAAGCATAAGTGGTTTAGATGACATATGTATGTATGTTTATGACCCACTGCGATGGACTGGCGACCTGTCTGGGGTGTTTCCTGCCTTCCGCCCAGTGACTGCTGGGATAGGCTCTAAAACTAATTTTAGACCATCCATAAAGTAAAGAAGGGTAGTCACAAGGTAAAGTAGCGTTGGGTTCTTTAAGAACTGGCTGAAGTTCAATTTCACTTCAGCATCAGCTTCACTTTAACCAGCACTTCCAACAAAATTCAGAACAAGACAGGTAGATATGGCACTATTAGTCACCATCATTGTTATCACTGTAATATGTCTGGTAATGCACTGTTAGCCAACTCCAGTCCTGGAGGCCTCCGCACCCCCCCGGCACATCCCTCGGCAATGCATAGTCATGTTTCTCTGCTGAGTCATATCAATAGCTAATTATTAGGAACTCTTTCCTGAGCTGATTGAGGTGTTTTACAGCAATGAAAACACAACAGTGCAGTGCGGAGTCCTGAGGACTGGAGTTAGTAAACACTGCGGTATTATTTCAAGGGAAGCCATGAAGCAACAGGTGTCCAAAATAAATCAAATTTCCCATTTCGTCAAATGTAGCTGATTGGCCGAGACCTAAATGTCTTAGAAGATCCAGAACTGTGTAAAGGAGTTATTTTGGTGAACTGTCGCTTTAATCATTGCTGTGGTAACTAATGAATGCTTTCACCTATTTCATATAACAGCTTCACAATTACCAGCTTTATGATCATTATGATAATTGTTGACACCAAACATGTCTTGAATACACTGTTCCAAATGTATTCAGTAAAATATTCCTTTGCAATATGTTAACCTCTTTAACTCCTTGAGACCACCGGTGGTTCCAAAACGCACTTCGTCATATTCTTCATAACTTTCATATTTCATAAGCTACATTCTAAAGGTGGGGGTCGTATGAGAGCTGTAACTGTCTTCTTTCCAGTCAAATAGATGGGTGATGTCAATTTAAACCCTTATAATAAAAGAAGCTGAACTCACAATTTTTTTTTTCTACTGAAAGTCGACCCACTTTTCCACAAATCTGGGCTATAAACTATAAACAGATGGCGTCTCTTCAGTGATCTGCTCTGTAAACATTATTTTTATAAAATAATACAAAGAGCGTCTAAGATTTTTGGTTTTCAGCAGTAAATTGTGAGCATATAGCAATATGTGTGATCATAAAACACATTCTGTTAATCTGAGGGGAGCTTTTACAAAAAATAAATAAATAAATAAATAAATAAACATTTACATTTATTTCATGCAGTTACTGAATAATTTGCCTCACGATTTGGTCATTTAAGTTCAGACGGACAAACCAAAATATACCCTGGTCAATAGTAACATTGTCAGAATACATTTATGATACATGTTGATAAATCACATGGGAAAAATTCTGCTGTTGTCATTTTTTTACTTTATTCGTGCTGTTATGTGTTTTCAACTGTCATAAAAATTCTCTTATTTAAATGAAGTTAATGCCGTCCACTTATGCTCCCATAATCCCACCGCTGTCTCGTGAACTAACAAACAGTCTGCGATGTCCCAATAACATAATCTTGCAAATTTAACGATAATGTGAGGGGTATGTGTTTTTCGGTTAATGACATATATAACTTGCCATGAAACGCAGGCACAACAGCGATACAGTCCAGTACAACACAGAAGCTTATCACTTGTAAACAAATCTACTACTGAGGAAAGTATTTGGTTGTTATCCCTCAAAAACGTGTACTAACACTGAGATTAATAACTGATCACACTGATTTATCAGTCTACACAGGCTTTAGCAGAGCTCAGTAACACTGAGATTAATAACTGATCACACTGATTTATCAGTCTACACAGGCTTTAGCAGAGCTCAGTAACACTGAGATTAATAACTGATCACACTGATTTATCAGTCTACTCAGGCTTTAGCAGAGCTCAGTAACACTGAGATTAATAACTGATCATCACATTGATTTATCAGTCTACTCAGGCTTTAGCAGAGCTCAGTAACACTGAGATTAATAACTGATCACACTGATTTATCAGTCTACTCAGGCTTTAGCAGAGCTCAGTAACACTGAGATTAATAACTGATCATCACATTGATTTATCAGTCTACTCAGGCTTTAGCAGAGCTCAGTAACACTGAGATTAATAACTGATCACATTGATTTATCAGTCTACTCAGGCTTTAGCAGAGCTCAGTAACACTGAGATTAATAACTGATCACATTGATCTATCAGTCTACTCAGGCTTTAGCAGAGCTCAGTAACACTGAGATTAATAACTGATCACATTGATTTATCAGTCTACTCAGGCTTTAGCAGAGCTCAGTAACACTGAGATTAATAACTGATCATCACATTGATTTATCAGTCTACTCAGGCTTTAGCAGAGCTCAGTAACACTGAGATTAATAACTGATCACACTGATTTATCAGTCTACTCAGGCTTTAGCAGAGCTCAGTAACACTGAGATTAATAACTGATCACACTGATTTATCAGTCTACTCAGGCTTTAGCAGAGCTCAGTAACACTGAGATTAATAACTGATCAGTGGAGCTGATAAAATGGACAAAAGAGTGAAGTGGCCAGCCTGTGTGTGTTTTCTGCTTTACATTGAAAAATGAATGAACTTGTGAATTAAACAATGGGTGGTCTTTTTTGCATAGTAATGTACCTTAAGGTCTAATTTGTGACCCAAACAGATGAGCGTCCAGGAGTATGAGATGATCAAAGAGGAGGACGAGCAAAGTCTGAAGAAATACCGCAAGCAGTGCATGCAGGAGATGCACGAGCGCTTGAGCTTCGGGCCCAAGTTCGACAGCGTTTTCGAGCTGGAGAGTGGAGAGGCCTTTCTGGAGGCCATCGAGATGGAGCACCGCCTGACATTGGTCATTGTCCACATCTATGACGACGACATCAACGGCTGCGAGGCTCTCAACAACTGCCTGACCTGCCTGGCTGCTGAATACTGCAGCGTGAAGTTCTGTCGGATCCGGGCGTCCGTCACGGGGGCCAAGGAGCGCTTCTCTGAAGACGTTTTGCCCACTCTGCTGGTGTACAAGGGTGGGGAGATGCTGGGCAACTTCGTCTGCATCACCAAGCACTTCAACGAGGAGTTCTTCGCCACAGACGTGGAGAACTTCCTCAACGATTACGGGCTGCTCCCGGAGAAGGAGTTCGCGGCCTGCCCTGATGATGAAGAAGAGCATGGGGTGGAATGATCTGGAGAAAGATCATGCTGGTGGAGGAGAAGCCATGGCAAACCTTTGGACAGATGGGTTATGATCTCAACATGCATAGAGGCTCATTAACTCACAAGCTTTACTGAGACACACATACAGTTGTAAGCAAAAGTTTTCTGCAAAATTTAGGGCACAATTTTAACATTTTGGGAAAAATCATAAAATATATGCCATAATTTTTGCACAGGTAACATTGTATGTTTGATTTTTTATGTTAAATTTATCAAATAAACACTGCGCATTAAAATGTGTGTGGAGGACGTGTTCACATATTTTCACTATTGTCAACAAATCTGGGGCACACAAACTTTTGCACACATCTTGTACCTACTCTCATTGACCTTTTTATCAGAAACAGCCACCATACTGGGGCTACTTGTCACTGTGGTAGATGGAATGGCCCAGTAACTGTAAACCTACCAGCTCGGTAGGTGTTTCTAATAAAGTGGCCAGTGGTTACAGTAGCTCAGTGGTAAGAGAGGGAAACCTGCAGCCGGGATGTGATTGGTTCAAATCCCTGAAACTGACTTATTATGGCAGCATGCCAAGACACTTAAGCCCCTCTGCCCTGGGGGGGTGCTGTACTGCTCCCAGTGACTGATTTCTGTTGAAAAATGAATCAGTAAAGTATAACTTAACCTAATGAACTGGCAAACCATAAAGAAACCCTGATTGCATTGATAGAGACCTGCACCTCTACCTGTGCAATGAAGATTGAGGTCACAGACACAACATGAAGCAAGATGCGTCTAATCAGTCGATGACAAATCATCAACACCAGGCTGGGATATAATACCAGTTAAGTCTATACAGTTGTGTGCAAAAGTATGGCTGCAAATAAATAAAAATGATCCACTAAAATTTACAGAAATATTTAAGCCATATGCCATATTTAAGCGTGTTCTCTGTAGAGGATGCGTTCACGTGTTTTAACTTAAAAATCAACAGAACAGGACGTGTCACTTGACCAGACTTTATATATCATTAGGTCACTTTATCACTGTCAGACAAAAACCTTGTTCCCCTCAATATGGTAAAGTTGCAGGAGAAGGGAAAAAACATTCAATGTAAGTTACTGTAAAGACATTTTGTTCCAAGCCATTTAAGCAATTTGCCATTAGTGCTGGTCTGTTCATCAGGGCATTTTACTACACTGTAAAGGGTACCAGGCATTTTCAAATTATGTCAAAAGAAAACAATAAAATGTAAAAATGTCTAAACAAAAGTAAGTAACACATCCTCTACAGAGAACAAACTTATTTGTGACATTTTTCTGTAAAGGCACATTTTATTTACAACCTTGTTTCCAAAAAAGTTGGGATGCTGTACAAAAGATAAATAAAAACAAAATGCAATGATGTGCAAATCATTTTAATCCTATGTTTAATTGATAGACAATATATATTGACACTGAGAAACGTTATTGTTTTTTTGAAAAGTATATGCACAGAAGTGTGTTCTCTGATGGGTTAACTTATTTTTACTTAGAAAACTTATCACATATATACACACACACACACACACATATACATATATAATATATATATATATATATATATATATATATATACACACTCTTATACTGTAAGTCAATGGAACCAGAATTTTTTCCTAATCATTTTGGGTTATTTCTTTTCGTCCAATCTTCATGAAATTCAAACGCAATGCAAAGGACAACAGGCATTTTCAAATTATGTCAAAAACTGAAAAATTACAAAAATGGAGGTACAAGGTTTTCTTCCGACAGCAGTGATATACATAAATTACTGTGGTTTATCACATCTTTGGAAAGCTGAGCTCAATTTCCCTAACCACACCCAGGCCTGATTACTGCCACACCTGTTCTCAATCAAGAAATCACTTAAATAGGACCTGCCTGACAAAGTGAAGTAGACCAAAAGATCCTCAAAAGGCTAGACATCATGCTGCGATCCAAAGAAATTCAGGAACAAATGAGAAACAAAGTAATTGAGATCTATCAGTCTGGAAAAGGTTACAAAGCCATTTCTGACGCTTTGGGGACTCCAGCGAACCACAGTGAGAGCCATTATCCACAAATGGCGAAAACATGGAACAGTGGTGAACCTTTCCAGGAGTGGCCGGCCGACCAAAATTACCCCAAGAGCGCAGTGATGACTCATCCAAGAGGTCACAAAAGACCCCACAACAACATCCAAAGAACTGCAGGCCTCATTTGCCTCAATTAAGGTCAGTGTTCATGACTCCACCATAAGAAAGAGACTGGGCAAAAATGGCCTGCATGGCAGAGTTCCAAGATGAAAACCACTGCTGAGCAAAAAGAACATAAAGGCTCGTCTCAGTTTTGCCAGAAAACATCTTGATCTTGAAGACTTTTGGGAGGATACTCTGTGGACTGACGACTTTTTGGAAGGTGTATGTCCCGTTACATCTGGCGTAGAAGTAACACAGCATTTCAGAAAAGGAACATCATACCAACAGTAAAATGTGGTGGTGGTAGTGTGATGGTCTGGGGCTGTTTTGCTGCTTCAGGACCTGGAAGACTTGCTGTGGTAAATGGAACCATGAATTCTGCTGTCTACCAAAAAATCCTGAAGGAGAATGTCCGGCCTTTTATTCGTGACCTCAAGCTGAAGCGCACTTGGGTTCTGGACAATGATCCAAAACACACCAGCAAGTCCACCTCTGAATGGCTTAAGAAAAACAAAATTGAGACTTTGGAGTGGCCTAGTCAAAGTCCAGACCTGAATTTTCATGGTTCATGCTCGGAAACCCTCCAATGTGGCTGAATTACAACAATTCTGCAAAGATGAGTGGCCAAAATTCCTCCACAGTGCTGTAAAAGACTCATTGCCAGTTATCACAAACGCTTGATTGCAGTTGTTGCTGCTAAGGGTGGCCCAACCAGTTATTAGGTTTAGGGGGCAATCACTTTTTCACACAGGGCCCTGTAGGTTTGGATTTCTTTTTCCCTTAATAATAAAGACCTTCATTTATAAACTGCATTTTGTGTTTACTTGTGTTATCTTTGTCTAATATTTAAATTTGTTTGGTGATCTGAAATATTTAAGTGACAAACATGCAAAAGAATAAGAAATCAGGAAGGGGCAAACACTTTTTCACACCAGTGTGTGTGTGTGTGTGTACATATATGATACAATGATAAAAGCTAATTATTAACATAACGCGAGTAAAATGATGTTAATCCGTGTGAAAAACATCTGCGCTCTGTGAATAAATTACATCTGACTATGAGCTCCTCATGGGTGGCCGCGTTTGTGTATTGTTGTCCTGACATGTTTGTTCCTCCCACTGAAGATCAGAGGTTCTTCCAGGAGGTAAAGTGTCCTCAAGTGCTTTTCAAAGAAACTGATCTAAAAGCAAACAAGAAAGTCAGGATACAAAAGAATGACAGTTTCACTGAAGACGCACCCTCGTCCAAACATGCCCATAAAGCGAGAGACAGATCACAGATTACAGTACCAGTGTGGGGTCAAATAGCTGAGTGTATCTGTGGCAGAATAAGACAGCACTGATCCACTGAACATTACAGCCGGTTACATCAGCCCAGCTGTTATTATTCTCATCATCGCCGTCATTAAATTCAAATTATGCTCCTGAACCATTATAAACAGCAAACAGAACAGACCTAACTGCACGAACTGAGGTTCCTAAATGGTTCCCTGCCTGTAATTGGTATCCATTATGTAGAGATTCTTCAATCTTTAAGAGGTTCTCTTTAAAAAGGTTCTTCCATGGCATCACCCCAGAGAACCCTTATTACACCTTTATTTTTAAAGTGCCCACATCCTACATTCTTCTGTTTACCAAAACCAGCCATTCATATTTACATGGTCAGCCTTTGAATGAAACAGGCAGTTTTTGTTCCTGTACCTTTAAGACTGAAATATGTAAGTGAGCTCTGTTCTGATTGGCTGTCCTGTATTGTGCCTTGCTCAAAAGGCAGCCCAAGCTGAAACACTCCTTATAACTTCGGGATACAATTTCTATTTATTTGTGCACTGAGTTTTCCCAACATCCTCTACAATACCACACATAAATCTCTGCACATTTTAGTGCACAATTTCTATGTATTTACTGTTAGGAGTTTAACATATTGGAAAAAGACAAAACATACAGTACAAAATATGCCATAACTTTTGCACAGGCCACATTTATTCTTTTTTTTTTCCCAAAATGTAAAATTTAGCAAACAAACATTAATTTGGCAACAAAATCTGCAGAGGTGTGTCTTTGTAGAGGATGTGTTGACTTAATTTTATTTAGAAAATCAACAAAACCTGGTATCTGAAACCAGGGGCGTCCACACAACTGTATGCAAATGTATTGTTTTTTGTGACATCACAAAAACAACGAGTTCAAAGTGAGCTGTTTTGCAGCTTAGCTTCCACATATGGACTGTATGGACCGGACAGTATGTTTTGAAACTGTAACAGAGATCATATAGTACATTGCGCTCTTTCATTTAAAATAAATAGTTAATTTTCCACGCTGTGGGCCCTTCAAGAGTGTACAGTGTAAAAGCAGACTGTATAATATGTTTTGCAACACATGCGGATATGTAATGCATACTTCCGATAACTCTGCACCACCGAGGAGCAGAGCGGAGTCATAAACATCAGCTCTGAGGATGATTCAGCAAGTGGAAGGGAAAGAATAACATGTGGTGAAGACTTCGGAAAGCCGCAGCGCTTAGTGAGGTAAGGATGACGACGCAGCCCATGGCTCAGAGACGACCGGTTTAAACTCGGTCCAGAACAGCTGAAAAAATCTTACTGTCTGGTATTCGGTGGAATTTTACACTGCCACACGCTATTAAATGAGACAATGAGTTTATTTCACAATTACAACCGTCAACAAGTCATTTGGGCTGAATCCCAAACAGCTCCAGACTCCTTATGTAATGCACTACGTAGGTCACGAAATATGATGGGTGTTAGGGGGAGACCTAGCCAGCAAGGGGGGACTGGCCACGACTAAGGCTACGTCCACATTACAAGCCTCATTGTTGTTACAAGCCACACTCGTTTAGGTAAGTGACTCAAATCTGTCATTAATGTGAACGAACCGGTGTCCTGAAATGACCCTCATGAGCACATCCTGCTTAGTAACGTCACGTGAATGAATCACGTTCATCATGCAGAACGAGCTTCGCTGAGAAGATCCTTAACTCTGATCAGCTCTCAGCTTCATTATTAGAGCGAGACGAAGGAGAAAAAGGTGAGATGAGCTGCTTTTCCACCGTTTACAGGCTTTAACTTCTGTTCGGCGCTGCTGCCATGGTAACGCTGAACGATGGCACACACGCAGTGGGAGAAAAAGCACATGAATTCCAATCTGAGCGTCACATTAAGGTCGCATGGCCACGAATCGGATACGTATCCGATCTAGGACCACATATGAAAGTGACTCAGGTCGGATTTGAAAAGATCAGATTTGTGTCCACACAGCCCTGAAAACATCAGATCTGTGTCACATTAGGGCAAAAAATCAGATTGGCACCACTTTAACCAGGTAATGTGAACGTAGCCATATAAAAGTGGTTCAGGTCGGATTTGAAAAGATCAGATTTGTGTCCACACAGCCCTGAAAACATCAGATCTGAGTCACATTAGGGCAAAAAATCAGATTTGCGCCACTTCAACGTGGTAATTTAAACGTAGCCAAAATGGAATAAAAATTGAGTAAAAAATAGATTTTTTTTATCTCTAGTTTTATATATAGGTGTTATGTATGTTTTAGACGTTTTCCTCAATATTTCATTTTTTGCGAACTAGACGTTATTAAATGATAAATAATATCCTGTAATTGTCTATTTATGGTACTTTCTTGATGTGTTGTCCAGCTCAAAATCCAATCACCACTTTTCAAATACGAAGGATTCTAAATTATATTTTTTTATTTAATTCTCAAATGTAAAACATCTTTCTGACTCATTATGGAATTATCTTCGGTTATGCTGATCATTCTGGAAATCTCTTAACTTTAAACAGCTTTATTTGAACATAACAGAGTAGAGTACTTTCATCATATCAGAATCATTTTGTACAATGCACCGGAAACAAAACTGTTCCCATATTAAGGAAAACTGTGATTCCAGAGATGTAAATGGTGATTCCAAACTTTGGAATGCAAGTCCAACAGGGAGTCATTTAGCTCTCTATTAGACATACAATGCAATGGTCCTCATTCACCAACCGTTGTTAAGAAGAAATTCCTTCTTAAACCCACTTACACAGTTTTCACAAAGATCCTGACATTCACCAGTGTTTTCTTATTGGATATTTGTTCTTAGGTAAGAACAGAATCTTCACACACTTAAGAGCACAAAGGTGAGAACAGTTCAGAGGTTTAAGAACACGACATGAATCTGATGTAGACTTTCTCTTAGGACCTTCCTCAAGAACACATTCAAGAACAAACTCAGGAAGATATTAGTGAATGAGGCCCAATGTCTGGATGTAGAAGCCACTTGGATAAAACAGCTTAAGTGAATTCTGTCCTTAAAGGGGAACTCCACCAAATTTGTCAAAATCTCTGCATAATTAAATAGTAAATGTGTAAACAGAGTCATTCAGAGTGGTTTGGTGTGAAACGCTCTGTTCTAGAGAAACTCACAGAGTCAGAATTGTTCACAGTGGTGGTGATAGGAACCAGACGTCCACCTCTAAAAGCTCCCTCACAGAGAGATATTACATGAAATGGTTATGAATTCACTGCCTGATGTCCGAGACACTGTTTTATGATAGTTTTGTGACAAAGTTTTGGTTTAAAATTTATTTTTATATTTTTATTTTAGTCAATTTCATGGCGGCGGGATACATGCAGGGTGTTATGAGGCAAAATAGTCCCAAAGGAAAACTTATTTTTTCAGTTTTCCACTTTTTGACATCATCAACATTCAATATAAACACTCAGAAGACTCGTGTGGGTTCACTGGTGGTTTTGGATGGTAAATAAAATGTCTATATTTGTGTTGTAGTCATGGTGACCCCTGGTTCCTATCACCACCACTGAAAAGAAATCTGAGTCTCTACAATCAAACATTTCACACCAAACCACTCTGAATGACTCTGTTTACATCTCAACGACTAACTCACTCATACATTTTCAAAAAGTGGTGGAATTCCCCTTTAATTAAGCTGCACAAAAACACTAGGGGGAAATTTTTAAGTGGTAAGTATAAAACTACTTTGAGACCTTCAGAGTTTTTAAGCTGTTTAAAGCATGTTAGTGTAAAACACTTAACTACAATGAGCAGTTAAGGCCCTTTAATGCAATGAGCTTAAAGAGTAGGAGCTGTTTGAGATCCTGCCCAAGTTAGATTCATTGAAATGAACAGCTCCTTGTTTGTGAGCGTCCTCATGGTTACTCGTTAAGATACAGCAGGGATGTCGCTGTGGCGAGGAGGGCGACAGCAGCTGCCACGGCCACACCTGAGGAAAGAAAGAGAGAGAGAGAGTCAGTCAGTGATGAATGAGGGAGAGTTGTGTGAAAGGGGCTCCAGGAATGATGAGAATTCGTGATAAGTTTAAGACACGCCCTCGGTCACGGAACAAACCTGTCGTTAACATGACTCACTGTCTGTAAATCATTACAATGCTCTGCCACACAGAAGTGATGAGAAATAATGAATGGGCAGGATTTAAAAACAATAACAACAATATGAACACAAACACCTTTATTGTCACTGTACAAGTACAATGAGGTTCAGTGTGCACTTCACTACAAGCTACCTAAATCAAAAGAGGACGTAAAATAAAGAAAGCTGAAATAAAATAAAATAAAATAAAACAAAATAGATAGATAATTTTATATATAGGAACAAAAAGGGACACTCCGAGCAGAATCTGTTCATTTCATTCATTCGATGCTGTTGTGAGACCAAATGAACATCCACCCATTTTTCAAATTTTCAGCGTAGGTCACTGAGATGTAAGCAAAGTCGTTCAAAGTGTTTTAATGTGAAATGGTCCACTGTAAGGATTTCCTCATAGGTGTGGTGATGACAGGAACCAGGAGATGCAATGTCTACACTACAAACATCCTTCTCATTTACTATCCAGTGATCCTACACGTGTCTTCTGAGTGTTGATGCTGATAAAATAGTGGAAAATCTGAAAAAGTTAGGTTTTCTCTGGGGGCTATCTTGACCTCTACGCTATAAACAGGTTTTTAAAAATATGTTTTTGGCCAAAATCTTCTCAAAACTATCATAAAGACAATGTCTCAGGAATCAGGCAGTGTATTCATTACCATTTAATGTAATAGCTTTCTAAAAGGGGGCTTTTAGGGGTGGACGTCTGGTTCCTATCACCATCTCAGCTATTTAATTATGGAGAAATTTAGTAAAAAAAATTTGGAATCTTTTGAGCTACTTTTATATTTCTGCTCAAGCTGTGTTTCGTAAAGGTTTACTGGTACTGCAGTCATTATTTACTTCAACGTACCAGCATAGTAGTGTGAAGCTTTCTGCTGTTTCACTGGTTCAGTGTTGGATTCTGTTGGCACATCCTGAGCGGCTCCATCATCACGTCCATCATCCGCTTCCAAAACAGACGCAGAGCGACATGCTGAAACAAACAATCAATTAATGGGACAGGAAGCTCCACGGCTTCTTTCTTTTGTTATTACAGTGGCTGATTATCATATGGCCAGAGGCTCAAAACATATCCTGTCTTTAGTTGGGGAAAATTATGTATCAGTAAGGTTTTGCTCAAACCGGTTTAAACAGGGTGCACAGTCAACATTAACACAGCGCTCAGAATTTGAGGAAGGGAGTAGGAGTGACGACAGCTGGCTTGAAGATGACTGTGTAATACTATTCTCTGTAAAAACCCCTCTAAGCACATCCTTCTAGGGCCTTAAAGGGCCGATATCCAACACTCCTGTTTACTTCATCCTTTAGAACCTCTTTTTAATCCCTTATCCCTTAGAATTAAACAGGCTTTTTTACTGTGACTTTAAGGCCCGAGTCCCATTTCTTCTTTTTACCCCTACCCCTTGTTTTCGAGTGTCACCCTAACCCCTTGGAACTGAGTTATAAGGGGTAGTGGTTGAAATCTTCCCTATGAAATGGGACCCTCAAATAAAAAGAGCATTACTTCATTAACAGCTACTAGCGCTGCTCTGTAGGTGACCCTGCCCGTCTGCAGTGACAGCAGAGGAGGGTAAAGTTCAGCTCCTCACTGCTGGGCTTTAGTTACATTTAGGGCATCATCTGCCTTCAAAGAGGGGGGCAATTATTTATTATTACCCACCCCTAATTCTTCAGTAATATGAAGCTGAAGTCAGATATTCACCAGATTCTTGTTCGAGTTTTCCCGTTTCACCTTAAACGGCGCAGCAGTTACATTCTGGCACTTCAGGCGTCAGAACTGCTGGACTATTTAAGGTGGAACGGGAAAGTTAGTTAGCTAGCTACCAAGACATTAGCATGCTATTAGTGATTTTTTATGCTTGTTATGAAGAAAACAACCATAATACATTTAAACGACATTAAACTAAGATAATACAGTGGTTATCGGAAATTTTAAACAGAGTAAATTCTCACATTTATTGGTTTCTTTGGTCTCTTGTTCAGCCGTCTTGCCGGTTTTTCATTTTTTCTCATAACTCTCTGTTTGGAGTCTCTGAAAAACCTCCATTTGGAGGTCCAGTAGCCCTAACACTTCACCCTACCCCTCCATCTCAAGAAGAATTGGGACACCCTACCCCTGATGTGAACGCACAAAACAGAGGGCTAAGGGCTAAGGGCTAAGGGCTAACAGAGGACTAAGGCTAAGGGCTAAGCGAGGGGTGAAATGGGATTGGGCCAAAGACTGATATATCTCTATGAACTCTGTTCTGATTGGCTGCCTTGAATCAGTTAAAAAAAACAGCTTGGGCTGAAACGCATCTTATAACTTCAGCATGAATGGGCGGGGCTAAACTGCTGTAGCTTGATATATGTGAATGCATTGGTTTCCATGACATCACTAAAACAGTAAAACATTTGAAACGGGCTTTTTTTAGAAACGTAGTTTATACCTCACCAATCAGCATCAAGCTTATCTAAATCATCACACATTTGCCTTGAACCGTTTTAAATAATCTCAAACTGACTTGCTTGTGTTGTTTCCGATGCACAGAATCAGCAGAATTTTGCTCCAAATATGCAATCAGCCAATCCATTATTTGTACTTTGGCAGATCTGTGCTGTATATTTATCTCGCACTGTCTTTGAAAGTCAAGTCAAATTTATTTATAAAGCGCCTTTTACAACAGATGTTGTCACAAAGCAGCTTTACAGAGAATCCGGGTCCACGCCCCCAGTGAGCAAGACTTGGCGACAGTGGCAAGGAAAAACTCCCTCAACAGGAGGAAGAAACCTTGAGAGGAACCAGACTCAAAAGGGGAACCCATCCTCCTCTGGTCGACACCGGATAAGAGGACAGACACAAAACAGTATAAGTGGATAAAGCTGCTGCTAAACCTGCACCAAAATGCTCATCATTATACACAACTCATTGTGCTGAAAAGCCAGTCGCCTCTAACTTTCCACGTAGCACTTTTATTTGATTCATATTACTTAAATAAGCTACTTATTTTTCATGCAAGGACTGGAAGAACTGGAATCAGGACTGGCCATGAAAATGAATCATAAGTGCAACTCTACTGTTTGACACTGTTTGGCTACGTAGACATCCCAAGCCTTGGTGCTGCTCAGTTTTGATTTTTTTTTACTCAAATCTGATCTTTCTGACTTTTTGTAGGGGGAGTGACCCTCTTGACTGTCAGCTGCTCATGATTAGAGTGAGACAAAGGCAAAAAAGGTCTTCAGGATAGATGATACTGATTCATTAACACTGAATGTTAACACTTGTGCATGCACAATGTAGCAAAAGCAAAAAAAAAAATTAACATTAACTCTGGTTGATCTCATTAAGGCTGCAATCAGATAAGTAAGATAAGCCCACTAATCAGATAAGTATCTGATATAGAACCACAGCCTATGTGAAAGTGTCTCAGCTCTCATTTGAAAAGTTTGAAAGGATCAGATTTGTGTGTACACACGGCTCTGAAAATATCAGATTTCGGTCACATTAGGGCAAAAAAATCAGATTAGTGCCACTTTAACTTGGTAATGTGAACGAAGACTGTGATGTATTTACTGTTATCTAAACAAATGGACAAAAGAGCTATAAATAGTAGTAGCTGCCATCATGATGTCTGAATTGACTGTGTTTTTGCCAATTTTGCCCAAGAGCTCCAATGTAAAATTAAGAAGTGAACTCCGGACAACGATAACGTCTGGGCTGGTCAACTAGATTTGGGGTGGGGGATCTGTGATTTTTGCTGAACTACTCCTTTAAGCACCAAAACATGGCCTTGGTTTTATGGAGTCGGATCCATGCCGTTAGAAACGTGTATCTGAATGCAAAAAATCTGAATCTGAATGTCATCATTTTGAATCTATCACACCATTTGAAACTGAATTCTAAACAGAAACTGAATTTTTACAGGTTTGTTAGCGAGCAGCAGAAGACCTGAACAGAATTTGATGACTGATAATGAACGACTGAACACCTTCACATTTTCAGATTTAAAGGAGCCATAAATAATTTTCAAATTTACAAAGCAACCAGTATGACAATGTTATAAGAACTGTACAGTGACACCTACTGACGTGGGTGATACGGAGTGTCTATACTGCCCTCTGTGTTGTGGAGAGGTGATCACCCTCTCCTCGTTTGGCAGTGTTATCAGTGTCACTCAAACGATGTGGGAGTCAGAGGTCAGTTACTGGTAAGTGTAATAAATGCTCTTTCTGATGAGGATCAAGCGCTATTATGTCAATACGAGGTGCTGCAGAATGGAAACTAGAGCCATATGGACAACTCATATTTTTAGATTCATCGAAGCTTTCAATGATGAATTTAAATGATTTATGATTTATGATTTTTGATTTCGTTTAAATGTATGATTTCGTTTCAAACTGGCTCAGTTTGTAGCTGGAATGCAGCTGTTATTCTGATGCATATTTATAATTTTACAGCATAACTTTCAGGTCATAACAACAAATAAAGCATTTGACCTTTCCAGCAGAAAACAAGCAACTCAGCAGCTTTAACCAATGAGCACGCAAATCTTTTTCTTCTACGGTTAGTTCTTCTGACTGACATGTTCTAAACACGGTGCTGCCCATTGGTGGGCCTGTGCATCATCATGATGAAACTGCAAAGCAATCTGAGCCTTCATCTCAGGTGAGTCCACGTTATGAAAGAATTTTAAAAACAATGACAAATCATCCTCATTCATAGCGTTTCCTTTAGTGCTTCCTTTTGTGTTACTTATTGTTCCTTTATTTTTCCACGGTGGCGCAGTGGGTGGCGCTGTCGCCTCACAGCAAGAAGGGCCTGGGTTCGATCCCTGGCCGGGCAACCAGGGTCCTTTCTGTGTGGAGTTTGCATGTTCTCCTCTCCCCCTAGGTGTGAATGTGCAAGAACATTTCCTCTCACAGTCCAAAGACATGCGGTCAAGCCAATTGGACATGCTAAATTCCCCCTAGGTGTGAATGTGTGTGTGATTGTGAGTGTATATGCCTGTCTGTCTGCCCTGCGATAGACTGGCCACCTGTCTAGGGTGTATCCTGCCTTCCAGCAGCCCACTGCGGCCCAGAAGGATAAGCGTTTTGGCAGATTAAAGCAGTCAAACACTACCTCTTCAGCACCAGGTAATAATGCTCGTTTTATAACAGAAGTGTTGCCGAACGGCCAGTAAAGTGATGTTTCTTTAACAGCAGACGCGAGTTTAAAACATAGCGTGAATACATTCTGATCAGGTCTCTAGTGGCCTGTTATCAGCAACACTGACGTGCTTAATACACTCACACCACTAATGTTACAGTGTGAATGTAAGCTTGCTGTCCTGGTCAAATGGGCATTAATTTTCCCTCATCAAAATAATGGACAAGCATATACTGGTGAGTGATAGTCCATGTGCAGGTGTGCGAACTTTATCCACATCAAAGAATAGTAATTCTAATCTTCTGAAGCACCTGGCAGAACAACATGCTACTACAAAGCTCCCCAACGGTAGCGCTGCTGAACAAGGAGCCCTTCCTTCCAAGCAGCCAAGGCTTTCGAAGACATGCAGCCTATATCAGCAGTTAGAATGTCAACATTTAAAAGTACCACAAAAGTTACTTTCCCCAGTAACTAATTAGTTCTATATGTAGTAACTGGTAAAGTAATTCAATTACTTTTGAAAGAAGTAACTGTAACTACTAATTTCCAGTAACTCGCACAACACTGATTCACTGCTTCACTCTCTGATCAAAATAAAACCATTATCTCCATTAGAAGTTACCTGGAGCCTCCACACTGGTGTCTATGTCCTCCTCGGCTGATTCCCAGTCCAGCATCTCTTTAAGCCGCTCAGCTACGTCTGTGGCAGTCTCGTCCGGGAACATGTAGTCACATACGGTCAGGCCAGAGCCGGGCAGAGGGGCAAACACTCGCTGAGGAAGATCCTGCTGCTCACTGGCAGGACCTGCCCAGTAAAATATGACAAAATATCACTTTAACCTGGAAGGGAATCTGTTTACTTCTTAAATAGGAACATCTCCAACTTTACCATTTCAGCTTTGCAAATCTGATACTGCCATATTATCGGATTGATCCGTAAACACTAATTTACTTAACAAGATACGCTCCCTTTCGTCATATTCAGCTGATCAGAACAATAAAACATTTTAATGATGCTCTCTTAGTATTCCTCCCTAAAGGGGCATTCCAATGATATTTCAAAATTTCGGAATAATTAAATGGTTAAGATGTAAACCAAGTCACTCAGAGTGGTTTGATGTGAAATGATCTGTTCTGGGGTCAGAATTCTTCGCAGTGGTTCTGATAGGAACCAGACGTCCACCTTTAAAATAGTGAATACACTGACTGATATCTGAGACATTGTTTTATGATAGTTTTGAAGGTTTTTTTTATTATCAACATTAAAATATTAAAAATTTGTGCAGGTTCACAGGTGGTTTTGGATAGTAAATAAAATGGCTATATTTGTGTTGTAGACATGGTGACCCCTGGTTCCTATCACCACCACTGTAATAACATCTGAAAATGTTTCTAGAGTGAACCATTTCACACCAAACTATCTAAAAGACCTGGATTATGCAGGAATTTTGAAAAATTGGTGGAACTGTTTTTTTTTTTTATTGCAAATGCTAGTGGCGCCATCTAGTGCCTAGTTTCAATTAGTTCTCTTTAGGTTATTCTCGATTCATCTTAATGTCTATCTTGGACGTTTTCAGCCTAATATTCTACTGAATTTCTTTAAGTGAATGAGCTGTGAACTTGTTACCTTCTTCATTCATCTGCAGATCCTCCAAAAGCATCTCCACCCGGTCTGAAACCGTGTTCACTACGTCCCTCTTAATAGCCTATAAAGTAACAAACACTTATGTACTTATAACCCACAGAACAGAACTGAAGGCATTTATTTATTAGATCACAGATTCTGAGCATATTTGCAGACTTGTCATTTGCTGGATGTATTAATCATGAAGGCACCCAGTCACTAATGAAATGTATTGACCACTGTACTAAAGCCCATATCAATGCATGTACACATGCATGCAAACAAGGCAATATACAGACCAAGTACATGACACAAAAACAGAAAAATGGATGTATTATAAAAGATAATGATTTGCTGCCATCTACTGATCTGATTCAGAAGAAGAGTGGAACATCAGTGGGTCAAGTTCCAAACCACTAGTAAATAAAATTAAATATTATTGTTACTGTAATATACACCCACCAAGCACACGAGGAGCACCTTGTAGTTCTACAGTTACAGACTGTAGTCCATCTGTTTCTCTACATACCTCGTCACCCTGTTCTTCAATGATCAGGACCCTCACAGAGCAGGTACTATGTGGGTGGTGATCATTCTCAGCACTGCAGTAACACTGACGTGGTGGTGGTGTGTTAGTGTGTGTTGTGCTGGTACAAGTGGATCAGACACAGCAGTGCTGCTGGAGTTTTAAGCACCTCAGTGTCACTGCTGGACAGAGAATAGTCCACCAACCAAAAATATCCAGCTAACAGCGTCCTGTGGGCAGCGTCCTGTGACCACTGATGAAGGACTAGAGGATGACCAACACAAACTGTGCAGCAGCAGGTGAGCTATCGTCTCTGACTTTACATCTACAAGGTGGACTGACGAGGTAGGAGTGTCTAATAGAGTGGACAGTGAGTGGACACAGTGTTTGAAAACTCCAGCAGCACTGCTGTCTGATCCACTCGTACCAGCACAACACTCACTAACACACCACCACCATGTCAGTGTCACTGCAGTGCTGAGAATAGTCCACCACCCAAATAATACCTGCTCTGTGGGGGTCCTGACCATTAAAGAACAGGGTAACAAAGTATGCAGAGAAACAGATGGACTACAGTCTGTAACTGTAGAACTACAAAGTGCTCCTATATAGTAAGTGGAGCTAAAAAAATGCACAGTGAGTGTAGAAACAAGGAGGTGTTCCTAATAAAGTGCTCTGTGAGTGTGTGTTCCTTCTGAAATTGATGCAGAATGAATATAAAGACACCCCTCACCTGAGCAGCGTGTCTGATTCTGGGCTTGTTGGTGTGGCTGTATGCTCTGCAGTGAATGGTCCCTCTCACACGCACTGACCCGCTGCTCGCCTGCACCACAGCGCTGCACCTCTGAACAGGATCCTCCTGCATCAGACATTTACACACAGCGTCAACACTGAAACACTGAAACACTGAAACACTCTCACACACCTGAATGTGCATTCTACTCACCTCTGAGACCAGAATCTGCGCCTGTAGCGTCTGCTGCTGGCTCGTCTTCGTGCTCTTTTTCTGCCATGACAAACAGGCACCATCAATACAAACAATCAAAACATTGTCAAAATAACATTTATGGATGTGCTAGATTATGTTAAAGCAATCGACTGGCCAAAAAACTAAATGTACGCAATTTTCTTCGCTAATTTGGAATTTAACTATCTAACTAATCTTTTAATTTGGAAACGTTGGCTGTCATGGAATAAAACCATGCAGAAGATGGAGAGGTGCTCCTCACCGATCCTGACAGAAGCTCTGAGTCGTCTGATGCTGGTCTGCCATTAATGAGACAAAGACCACCCTCAATCTGTTTAGCCCACCTCCTGAGTCCATCCTGAAACACATATTTTTAATTCGTTTTATATATTATAATTAATACCCAAACATTTAACAACAGACAAACACGCCTACAATTCAGTTCCTCTCTCTCATAAGTTTCATAGTAGATACTGATTAATTCCTAATAGATACTGAAAATTCACAGGAAATACTGAATAATTCATAGTAGACACTAAATAATTCATAGTGAAACTATATTATTCGTAGTACTTACCGAATAAATCATAGTACATACTGAATATTTCCTAACAGATTATGAATAATACGAAGCAAATACTAATAATTCATTATAGATACCAAACAATTCATAGTATATGCTGAATAATTCCTAACAGATACTGAATAAAACAGAGTAAATACTAATAATTCATAGTAGTTACTGAATAATTCATAATAGACTGGATAATTCATAGTGGATATTGAAAATTCATAGTAGATACGGAACAATTCATAGTGGATACTGAATAATTTATAGTGGATACTGAATAATTTCATAGTGGATACTGAATAATTTATAGTGGATACTGAATAATTCATAGTGGATACTGAATAATTTATAGTGGATACTGAATAATTTATAGTGGATACTGAATAATTCATAGTAGATACTAAATAGTTCATAGTAGCTACTGAATAATTCGTAGTAGATACTGAATAATTCATAGTAGTTACTGAATAATTCACAGGAAACACTGAATAACTCATAGTGGATAATGAATAATTCATAGTAGTTACTGAATAATCCATAATTGCCACTGGATAATTCATAATAGATATTGAATAATTCGTAGTAGACACAGATTAATTCATAGTGAAAACTGGAAATCCGTAGTAGTTACTGAATAATTCATTGTGGATACTAAATAATTCATAATAGACACTGAATAAATCATAGCAGATAATGAATCATTACAGTAGACACTGAATAATTTATAGTAGTTCCTGAATAATCCATAATAGCCACTGGATAATTCATAATAGATATTGAATAATTCATAGTAGACACAGATTAATTCATAGTGAAAACTGGAAATCCGTAGTAGTTACTGAATAATTCATAGTGGATGCTGAATAATTAATTGTGGATACTAAATAATTCATAATAGACACTGAATAAATCATAGCGGATAATGAATCATTACAGTAGACACTAAATAATTTATAGTAGTTCCTGAATAATCCATAATAGCCACTGGATAATTAATAACAGATATTGAATAATTCACAATAGATACTGAATAATCATAGTAAACACTGAATGCCCAGAAGCTGAGAGTGTTGTGTGTTTTTCTGAGCTCAGAGTAACTGAACTTCACCTTTATACACTTCTCTGACGATGACTCAGTCACTGGGATCTGCAGGTCCACTTTCACAGAGCAGGTCAGCACGGGCCAGGAGGACGAGATGCCGGACAGATACTTCCAATCTGCAGGTTTTGCTGAACACTAAAGATGAGAATTCACCCAGAAGTGCATGAATTAGGCAGAGTCACAGTGGAGAAGGCTCATTAAAAATGAATTTAATTTGTAAAGGACACTTTCACAACATTACCTCAAGGTACTTTAAACTTTTTTTTACAGTTCAAAACAAGAGCTAAATAAGACATAAGGAGTTATACATCAAACCTTTAACTGCTTGGTCAAATACATCAAATCTGTTGGTGAAAAACAGGACTAGGACCTCTTACCTTGGGGTCTTTTACATCATATGTTTTGCAGATAGCTCTGTGTTCAGTAAAATTAAGGAGCGATTATTTACAGAAATATGGTACAGGATAGAAATCACTGACCGTAAGGAACAGATGGAATACTAAGTGCTATAGAAACTCCTCTCTTGTAGCTCCGCCTTGCTGGTGTACAGTTAGAGACAGTAGCTCATCTACTGATGTACAGTTTGAGTTGTCCATCCTCTAGTCCTTCATCAGTGGTCAGTTTCTTGTCTGGATATTTCTGGGTGGTGGTCCACTCTCAACCCAGCAGGGACACTGACGTGTATGAAAACTCCAGCAACACCGCTCTGTCTGATACACTCGTTCCAGCACCACACACACTATGATGTCAGTGTCACTGCTGTGCTGAGAATGGAACACCACCCAAATACTATCTGGACAACAGCGGCCCTGTATGTAGCAACAGATCTTCCACAGTCTGCAGTGGAAGTACAAGGTAGGTGTTTCTAATAAAGTGGCCAGTTAGTGGAAATTCAAGGTAAGCGATTTCAATAAAGTGGCCAGTAAGTGGGAATACAAGGTAGGTGTTTCTAATAAAGTGGCCAGTGAGTTGAAATACAAGGTAGGTGTTTCTAATAAAGTGGCCAGTGAGTGGGAATACAAGGTAAGCGATTTCAATAAAGTGGCCAGTAAGTGGGAATACAAGGTAGGTGTTTCTAATAAAGTGGCCAGTGAGTCGAAATACAAGGTAGGTGTTTCTAATAAAGTGGCCAGTGAGTCGAAATACAAGGTAGGTGTTTCTAATAAAGTGGCCAGTGAGAGGTAACAATCTTTAATTTGCTACTCTGCTTCACAGATGAGGAGCAGCGTTTACAGCAGGTAACTGCAAACTCACAGAAGACTAAGAATCCTGAGTATTTTGTTCTTCTTTCACGCTATGAAGGATACTTCCTCGTCTTGGAGCAGATGTGCAGTGTGACGCGGTCAGTCACGTCATCCTCGGACAGATCCCACAGTCTGCTCTTAGATATGCATTTATCCACAGCAAAGATGAGCTGAAGGCAAGACAAGACAAGGTTATTTATACAGCACACCAGCATACACAGTTCAAAGTACACACACACACACACACACACACACACACACACACACCACACACACCACACACACACACACACCACACACCACACACGCACACACACCACACACACACCACACACGCACACACCACACACACACACACACCACACACACACATTTTCTAAGCCACTTATCCTTCTGGGTCGCGGGGGAGCTGGGGCAGAAGGCCAGTTCAAAGTACTTTATAGAAAATTAAAAGTTAATTAAAACAAAAGTTGTAATAAAACATTAAATGAAGTTTAAATAAAACTAAAATGAATAATGAAGATAATAAAGTAATAAACATAGTAAATGGAATAGATGCAAAGTATGAGATGAAATAATGCATGCAAATATACATTATATATATATATATATATATAGATAGATAGATAAATAGATAGATATATATAGATATATGTATGTATGTTTGCATTATTTCAAGTCATTTTGGGTCGTTTCTTTTAATCCATTCTTCATGAAATTTACACACAATATAAAGTGTAACAGGTATTTTTAAATTATGTCAAAAACTGAAAAACAACAAAAATGGAGATATGAGGTTTTCTTCCAACAGCAGTGATATACATCCTTCACCATTACAGGAAGCTACATTTGCACTACATTTGCACCGTTATGAACGTTTCGTGGCTGATACTGATTTTAAGGGGTAAATATATTTCTTTTTATTTTATATTTTATGTTGTAATTTTATACTTCAATAGTTTTAGTTACACAGTGCTTAACTGAATTATTTGATTGTTAACCACACAACTCAAACAATCAGCAGAAACTCACAATCTTAAATGAAATAAACACTGTAGCACAGGGGGGCGGAGCTACCCAGAATTCTTTTTCATGAGTCCACTGCATAACGTAAAGGGTTTTCTGTGTTATAATGTTATTCTAACGCTAAAGGGAAGATCTCAATAAACTATACATGCTTTTTTAATACTAACCATGATGGAGTTTTGTGTTTGTGTTCACCAGTTCAGTCTGTATTGTTGTCCTTTAGGCCCTGTTTACGTCTGGCATTAACATACATCTTGGGTGGTCCAATTATAAGTAGACAGCATTAAGTAAAGATGTGAACAGGGTCCAATATGTCTCAAACCACCTGTTATGGTGGCCAGGCATGCATATAACCACATAACTAAGCTGCATTGACAGCATATTTGTGATCTAAACATGTGTATCAGCCTGTACGTTTACACAAACAAGCACTCGAGACACTGACGTAGTAAATATGCACACAGTGTTATGAATGAGAGGTCAGCTCAACTCAAAATGACACAGCAACTGATTTCATGGCTTTTCTTGAGTTGACTCAACTTGAGGACAGCAGAGTTCACACGACTCAAACTTCTTAGTTGAGTCAAAAGGTAATTTTAATTTTTCTTAATTTTTTTAGTTCTGCATCTCAGTGAGGTAAATAAAATTGACTTGTTTACTCAACCTCCTCACTAGCCAGAACTCTTTCCATCACACAGACCTGCTAGACATTGTTCCTCCTGGGTATTTACTTATGGATGGCTGTGGCATCGCTGGGGCTCAAACTCACAACCTCCTGTTGGGGTGACGGCTGAGTCCACTGCGCCACTCAGGAACACGCAAAGCAGCTCAGATTGTGTGTCTGCAAATGTTTAATAAACTGGAGAAAATCTTTGTTGTTTTGACTTTAAAGCATGGCTTAGTCTCATCTGGTGCAACTGTCTAATGATTCACCCCAACGTCAGGAGGTTGTGAGTTTGAATCCCAGCATTACCTTAACTGTCCATATCTGGAAACCCAAGAGGAAAATATGCCAGATGGGACTGTGTGATAGAAGGAGCGCCAGCTAGTAGAGAAACTGAGTAAATAAACGCAAATTCAGTTTTGTTTATCTGACTGAGATGCAGAGCTAGAAACTGTAGCTGGGAGAATTTTTGATTCAATTAAGAAGTTTTGGTTGGGTGAACTCTGGTGTCCTCAAGTCAAGTCAACTCAAGAAAAGCCATGTAATCAAATGATTAAGGTGAGCTGACCACTCACTTTTTACAGGCAGACGAAATCCAGCCATTAGTGGTCGCTGGTGACACATTTGAGATGCATGGAAATGCCAAGTGTAAACAGTTTGTCATCACACTGTCCACTTATGACAAGGTCACTCAAGACAGATGTTAATATTAAATATAAACAGTGCCTTAGTTAAACATCATCGCTGTCCAAAACAAAACATACTTACACTATACTAACTGTCTGTAACTCTCACAATATGAACACATACTGTACTGTGCAAAGGTCAAAGACCCCTCTTAAGTAATTTGTTTTTCAGTATCAGGAGAAAAAAAGAAAAGGTATATTAATGTATACTAAATATAATCTCATTGTTCAGTATTTCCTGTGTCCACTGTCCCTTTATTCCAGCTTCCATTCTTTTCAGGAGACTCACTTTCAGTTCCTCAAAGAATCTGCAGACACACCTCCAAAGTTCAGTCTTAGAAGCTGGTTGATCATTTTCTGAAGTAATCAAACACATTCAGTGGTGTTGAGGTCTGGACTCTGGGGTGGTCAGTCCGTCGTTCAGCTTCTTTGTTTGATGTGTCCATCTCCTTTTCTCAGCGAGGTTCTTCTTGACAGCGACACATCCTTTCAGACCCACAGCGCTGAGTCGTCTTCTCACAGTGGAAGGATGGACAGAAACACCTGTGGATGTTTTCAGATCTGAAGCAGCTTGATTTTCTCCTCTCTCTCAAAGATGAAAGCTTTAAGTGATGTTTATCTGATGGGGGCAGTGTTGGTGTTGACCAGGTCTTCCAGGTGGTTGTTAGGAGTCCCAGGAAAATGAATAACTTGTACTTTTTAAATGGGAATTAAAGAAATGAAGGGTGGTCTTTGACTTTTGCACAGTACAGTAAAAATGACCTTTTAAGTCACCTTAAAATAAAATCGTTACACTGCTTTCAGTGATCCTTCTCTGAATGAACTCTTACCCTTTTCAGCGTGTTCTGCGCTTCTTTTGACAGCTCAGGAGGGGTGATCAGAAACAAACCGAGGACGTTCACACCTCCAGGTAACATCCGAGAAACCTGTGAAGAGCAAAATGAGGCTGTAAAGGCGCTGTGACATCCCTAAAACAAAATAACCTACAGCCACAACACTGGCAGTCTCAGCTCTCACAGGCTGCTCACCTGCCTGGCATGCTCAGCCACCCAGTCTGCATCAATATCATCCAGCGGGCTTGAGACTCTCCGGCTGTCTGAGCCCCCTTCGCTCTCTCTGTGAGGAGTCTTCACCGCCAGCACCACAAAGTCCTTCTGTGCTGAGGACTGAGAGTAAATAGAGAGAACTTTTCATCATTCAACTATTTTGAATTAACATTTGAAATATATAAAAATGATAAAAAATATAACGTCTTCTCACCTGGCCAATCAAAAGTCCCGTCTCGCAGGATCCAGCAGCTGCTGAGAGGCTGGCGAGATATTTCTCCACAGACTCCTCAACAGTGTAGCCTCTGCCCATTCTGACCAGAACCTGCAGAAGAAATGGACACTGATAACTTGTACATGCTGTAAAACGCTTTAGTTTCTTCATTCAGACTTTACGTATTAAGTTTAAACTAGAGGTAGTTGATGCGGCAAAAATATAACATTATTATGATTTTATAATATTCATAATACTAAGAAAACAACCATTTTTATTCAATTTGTAACATATTTCGATGGACTAAATCCAGTTAAACGGGATTCAATTAGTTGTCTTTATAATAGGGCTGGGCAATATGACAATATTTATCATTGTTGTGATAATTTATGTCACAATATGTTACAATATGTTTTTTTGAGCATATTGTGGATATTGCAGAACTTCTAGGACACTGACTAACTGTATGTGAAAGATTTATTAGTTCTGTTTAGTTGGATTTATAGCAGAACAGGATGTGAATAAAAAAAAATAAATAATTAAATACCACCCAGATAGCAATCATATATCAGTCTGCTGACTGTTTGCCACAACTGGTCCACCCTTGGACCACCCAGATTACTGTCCTGCATACAAAGTCTAACTAGTTTCTAATCTCATAATTTAATCTTTAAATTACAAACAACTGAGAGAAAACAATTAAAGACAAGGCCTGATATAAATTGATGTAGTTGAACATGCTGATGCTGACACTGTGCCAGATTGGTTACAGCTGTATAACCAGCTTTATTAAATATTGCTGTTAAAATTACTCACTTAACCTACAAAGTTTTTACAAAGTTGCATTAAAGCCAGGTTAGGTCAGGAGTCACAACACAAATGATAAGAAGAGACATTTTGCCTTTCAACGAAGTCAAACCACCTTTGGAGCCACAACATTTAATGTCCAGTACGCGTTAATGTCCTAGTATAGGCTAAACAATATAAACAAGAGCGCAGATTTACTTCGCTCTGCTTTAAGCTTTAGCTTTAGCCGCTTTCCTCCCATCTCTCTCAGGAAACTTTTCTTCAAAACTAGAAGAGTTTCTTGTAAAATGTTTTAGCATCCGGCTGTTTTACGAGGCTGAAGTCGCTTCTCATTCGCCAGTTTCTCGTTCTAATTTTCCCGTTCCACCTTAAATTCTGCCTTAGGCGCCGAATGCAACTGCTGCACCATTTAAGGTGGAACGGGAAAATTCGAAAGAGAAGCGAGTTCATCTTCGCATCTTCTAGTTTACTTGCCACATCACTTCCATTTGATTTATTAATAAAAGATATTTTAGATATTTAAAGCAAAGTATTTGTAATGATCCGTAATGCATTTACATTATGGATCATTACAAATACTTTGCTTTAAACCTACCAAGTCCTCAGACAGTAGGAAGATAGAAATCCTGTATAGAGAAAAAAGATGCATCGATAATCGTTTTATAATCACATCGCAGCCCTCTGTATCGTAATCGAATCGAATCGTGAGGTGCCTAAAGATTCCCACCCCTACCTCTTACTATCTGGGTAGTAGTGCTACATCATAAATAACTCTATAAAAACTATGAATAAAACTATTTTATTCAATATTTCACAGTTAAACTGGACTAATTTTGCTCTCTTTTTAATGAAACATGCAGTTGGTCAGCGTTCAAGTACTGATGGTTAACATGATACGTTCAGAAAAGTGTATTGTGATGTTTTATATCATGATAATGATATATACAGTCATACTGCCCAGCCGTACACTCTTAAAAAGATGGTCCCTCAAGGGTTCTTTAGTAAAGAAAATGGTTCTTTATAGAACCATGGACACTCAAAGAACCCTTTCATGATGCGAAGAACCATTTAATCATGCAAAGGGTTCTTTGAGTTCTTCAGATTGTTGAAGACTGTGCTGTATATGGTTCTTGCTATACAACAGAAGAACCCTTTTGGTGCTTAACAGAACGAATAATCCTTTTGAAAAGGGTTCTTCTATTATGATATTAAGATTTTTACAACAGAAGATCCCTTGGGAGCCATACAGAACTCTTTTCCAAAAGGTTCTAATTAGAACCATCCACAGCACAGTCTCCATCAATCTGAAGAACCATTTCATGATGCAAATAACCATTTAATCACACAAAGAGTTCTTTGAGTGTTCATGGTCCTAATATACAACAACATATACATGGTGTACATATTTCTGAAAGGTTCTATATAGAAACATATACAACACGTTCTCTATCAATCTGAGAATCACTTTAATTATGTAAATTGTTCTCTGAGTGTTCGTGGCTCTATACAGAACCATTTTCTTTACTAAAGAACCCTTGAAGAACCATCTTTTTTAGGAGTTTAAACTCTGGCCAGGATGTTTGTGTAGGCCAGCTGTTGAGCTCCAACACACGCTCAGTGTGAAACCAACAACCAGGATAGGAGTCGTGTTAGTTTTCTGAACATCACCTGATCTTAAACCCACTTCCACTCTCAGACACACGCCGCGTCCCCAACCACACACTTCTGCCCTTCACACACTACACTAATGAGTGCACTTATATGTGTATACACATGGTATACGCGTTATTCCCTCACACTATTTAGTGTGCTAGTGCGCGATTTGGGACGCGGCGCCTCTCTCTTTAAAGCCCTTTACAGAAAGACGCTTTTAAAGGTGAATTAAATGACCGTTAAAACGAGAGCAGCTTCGTTCACACAGTCCGGGTCTGTTTAACCGGACTGTCCTCAGTTTAGGAGCAGAGAAAGCAGTAAAGCCGGAATTCTGACCTGTTTCTCTGTTTAATGTCCAGCTGCTTCAGCTCCAGCTGCTCTCTGAGCTGCGTATGAGGCCGCAGGAAAGACACGTCATCCGGGAAAAGCGAGGCCTGATTGGACGGCTGAAACGTGCCGTCTCAGAAATGTGTCGTCACTGTTTGGTTTTAGGGCCGCTCCATTCCTCCCCTCGCGCCCTCGATCACTTTTATTTATTCAGTCTTCAAAATCACAAATTCACAATAAAACAAAAGTAACGGGGCCACCAACAAAAAGTACGGAGCCCCTAAGGGGCCGTGGTTAGTTAATGACATCGCGTTCTCTCGCAAATGTTTTGCGTTCCCTCGCAAAATACATGCTCGTCAGACAGCAAGCAAACGTGGGACCAGAGGTGCCCAACGACACTGCCTACGTTAGAGCTAAAACTCCAGCAGCACTGCTGTGTCTGATCCACTTGTACCAGCACAACACACACTAACACACCACCACCACGTCAGTGTGACTGCAGTGCTGAGAATGAACCACCACCCAAATAGTACCTGCTCTGTGAGGGTCCATGGGGGTCCTGACCATTAAAGAACAGGGTAAAAGGGGGCTAACAAAGTATCAGAGAAACAGATGGACTACAGTCTGTAACTGTAGAACTACAAAGTGCACCTATATAGTAAGTGGAGCTGATAAAATGGACAATGAGCGTAGAAACAAGGAGGTGGTCATAATGTTATGCCTGACCGGTGTGTATTTATATTAGAATACGTGTTAAATCGCGATTTTCGATGTAAGACGGTTAATCTTAACAGCGCTGCGAGTGGAGATACCCACTCCGTTTCGAGGGGAAGTGGTCGAGGGCTCGACGGAAACAGGACTAAACCCTCCGCCCCGTTTGGCTCTTACGCTCCGGCTAACGTTCAGCTCCTGCTCTCCGGTCAGCGATGGCGGCGCTCCTGCAGCAGGCGCTGGAGAGGACGGAGATCAACAAACTCCCCAAAGCCGTGCAGAACAAGCTCGAGAAGCTCCTCTCGGACCAGCAGACGGAGCTGGATTCGCTCAAAGCGACCCATGAGCGCTACAAGACCGACTGCGGTGAGTAGCGGACCGGCTAACAGGCTAACGAGGGGGGTTAGGTTTGAACCGGTGTGCTAGATAACGAGGAACAGTGGGTCAGCTTACTCCTAAAGAACCAAGAACATCGTTTTATTCACTGAAAGGTGAACGTCTTAGCTGCTCTAGTGAACACCTGGCCGGCTTTATATTCGCCAACCTTCTTGTTCGAATTTCCCGTTCCACCTTAAATGGTGCTGCAGCTACATTCAGCCGCCTTTAAGGTGGAACGGAAACTTCGAACGAGTTCAGCTCCCTCAAATGAATGGGCACAGCGTTGGTTACGCGCTTAAAGTGGTTCTCTGCTACAGGCAGTGGTTCTGTTTAGAATCATGAGTCCTGTCTAGAACCCTTTCATGCTTTTGCACTTTGGCATGATGAGAAAGGTTCTTCAGATTGATGGAGAATGTGTTCTGTAGGTTATAGCACCGAAAAGGGTTCTGCTATAGCTAAGATGTCAAGCTTGCTAGCTATACAACAGAAGAACCCCTTTTGGTGCTTAACAGAACCCTTTTCAAAAAGGTTCTATGCGGAACCATTACATTTCTAAAAATGATGGTTCTTCACGGGTTCTTTATTAAAGAAAAAGCTTCTATGCAGAAGCATAAACGCTCAAAGAACCTGTTGCATGATTAAAGGGTTCTTTGTATTGTGAAGGGGTTCTTCAGATTGATGGAGAATTTGCTGTATATGGTTCTATTATAGAACCTTTTTTTGAAAAAGCTTCTATAGAGCACCAAAAATGGGTTCTGCTATTGTTACAATGTCAAGCGTGATACAATAGAAGGACTCTTTGGTGCTATGTAGAACGCTTTTCAGAAAGGTTCTGCATAGAACCATATATAACAGATTCTCCCTCAATCTAAAGAACACTTTCATGATGCAAGGAACTCTTTATCATGCAAAAGGTTCTTTGAGTGTTCATTTTCTTTACTAAAGAATCCTTAAACAACCGTCTTTGACTGTACAGCACGTAATGTATCAATTTAAAGAACTGTTTCTATAGAGAACTCGTGGTTCTAGAGAACCCTTGATGGACCATCTTCATTAAGTCTGTAGGTATTGAGCTCGTCAGCCATGTCTGGCTGTATTACACATGCAGGGAGAGGATTAAGGCCTTTAGCTATGAAGTCTCTTACAGTGTTTTCACATATGGTTCGTTTTAAAAGAACCGAACTGAGTTCTGTTAAAGTGAACCTGGAAGGGAACCAACTGCGATTGACCTCAGTTCTAGTTGTGTTCACAATGTAAGTGAACTATAAAGAGGACTCGGTTTTCTTTCTGGTCCTTTGAGATCTCAGACCACGACTCCATTAGAACTCGGACCCCTTTCACAGCACTCACGGTGGGCGCGGTGCTCACAAAGTGGGCAGCGTTCTCTGATAAATCTGACCTTTCGGGTGGCGAGAGGAACCACCAGACCCGCCTGCTGCTCTCCTATTGGCCGCGCTGAAACGGTCGGCCGAAGTGCATCACGTAGAATTGGAAAAATGCTCCTCACTGAGCTCCACCCGGCGAAACTCCGCGTCAGTGGTGAATCTTCATTCATTCAGCTTTCAGTGTGAAAGCAGCTTAAAATTGTGTTGCGTGCCCAGTTTGAGCCTTTAAGACGGTAAAATCACGCGGGCTCTCGCATCTGATCGCTTTAATATGTCAGGGCTGCTGTCTTGTCGCAGATCACAGACAGAATTTGTCCTGAGTAGAACCTTATAAATGACCCTTGGTCTGTTTTGCCTGCTGAAGTGCTGAAGACTGTGGCTGTGTGTACGATGGACCTCGAGGTCTTCACCATAAAGCAAAGCTAAAGCGGACTGGGGCCGTTTTGTTTTCACAATGTACAAATCAATCGAACCACAAAACGAACTACAAACAAAACGAACTGAGTTCGGTTCGTTTTTTGGGCTGTTTAGAGGGTCTGAGTTCGTTTGGCATGTTCACATGTGCAAAAGAAACCATGACTCAGTGGTCCGAGTCCACGAAAACGCCCTTAATGATCCTTACCCTTAATGATCCTTACCCCCGGTCAGTCAGAGCTTCCTCTGAGCTGAAGGCTGGTTCAGTGAGGTTAGAGTCCTCTCAAATAAGAGCTTCAACACCTAATTCATTGTCAAGTGCTCTTAGTTGTATTTCTCTATATAACTTGTGTACTTTGGAGCGTCAGGCCACAAAAACATGGCAGCAGCACGTTACACAGGTGTACATAGAGTGCAGATGCACAACAGTGTCAGATGAGCGCAGATTATACAGTAAATGCACCAGACAATCAATACTAGACAGGATACCAAAGCAATACATTCAAATGGATATAGTCGGAACAAAACCTTGTATCTTCAAAATGGTGACTTTACAGGAGAAGGGAAAAACGTACGTTACTTTTAATATAAGTCAGTGGAACCAGACTTTTTTCCCAAGTCATTTTAGGCAGTTTCTTTTGGTCTATTCTTCATTAAATTAACACACAATGTAAAGAGTAACAGGCTTTTTTTTCAAAATTAATTCATGAATTTGCGTGGATTGGCATCAAGCAGCATGACGGAACAGCTGTAAACTGCGCAGGAGGTTGAGGTCTCATAGCAGCTGTCAAATAGTTGATAGTTATTTAAGGTTAAAGTGCAGGAGCGCAGTGGTCGATGTTGAGGGGATCGGTGCGTTTAGTAATTTGACCACCTCAGGGAAGAAGCTGTTGCGGAGTCTCGAGGTGATGGAACTCGTGGAAGAAGCTGTTGTGGAGTCTGGAGGTGATGGAATGGACACCCTCGGGGAAGAAGCTGTTGCGGAGCCTGGAGGTGATGGAACTCGTGGAAGAAGCTGTTGCGGAGCCTGGAGGTGATGGAACTCGTGGAAGAAGCTGTTGCGGAGTCTGGAGGTGATGGAACTTGTGGAAGAAGCTGTTGCGGAGTCTGGAGGTGATGGAATGGACACCCTCGTGGAAGAAGCTGTTGCGGAGTCTGGAGGTGATGGAACTCGTGGAAGAAGCTGTTGCGGAGTCTGGAGGTGATGGAACTTGTGGAAGAAGCTGTTGCGGAGTCTGGAGGTGATGGAACTCGTGGAAGAAGCTGTTGCGGAGTCTGGAGGTGATGGAACTCGTGGAAGAAGCTGTTGCGGAGTCTGGAGGTGATGGAACTGTGGAAGAAGCTGTTGCGGAGTCTGGAGGTGATGGAACTCGTGGAAGAAGCTGTTGCGGAGTCTGGAGGTGATGGAACTCGTGGAAGAAGCTGTTGCGGAGTCTGGAGGTGAGGAACTCGTGGAAGAAGCTGTTGCGGAGTCTGGAGGTGATGGAACTCGTGGAAGAAGCTGTTGCGGAGTCTGGAGGTGATGGAACTCGTGGAAGAAGCTGTTGCGGAGTCTGGAGGTGATGGAATGGACACCCTCGGGGAAGAAGCTGTTGCGGAGTCTGGAGGTGGTGGAATGGATGCTCTGGTATCTTCTGCCAGTTATCAGTAGGGTGAAGAATCCATGTGAGGGGTGGGAGGGGCTGATGGCCTTAGTGAATGCAGTGCTTGTGGTCGGAGGTGTCTGGTGGGTAAAGACACCCTGATAATCTTCTCAGTTGTCCTCACAATCCACTGTAGGGTCCTGCAGTCTGAGATGGTGCAGTTTCCAAACCAGCCAGTGAGACAGCTGGTCAGGATGCTCTCTACTGTCCCCCTGTAGAATGTAGTGAGGATGGAAGGGGGAGGTTTGTTCACTTCATCCTTTACAGGAAGTTTCTGCTGGGCTTTCTTAGCTAGGCAGGTGGTGCTGTGGATCCAGGTGAAGTCGTCAGTGATGTGCACACCGTGGAAGTTGGAGCTTTTGGTTCTCTTCATAGTTGAACCATTGAGGTGCAGTGGAGAGTGATCACGACTCCCAATTTAGGTGGTAAACTTGATAAAAAAACAGTTTTAGCTCCTTTTAAAATATAAAATATTTTTAGAAATATAAGAATATAAAAATAATTAGTAAAAATTATAAGTCATTTAGAATCATTTGACACGGTGCCTTTTCAGTGATCAAATCAAGTCTTAT